TACCTCGGAAACGCCCACATTCTTTGAGGTCTGAGCATTCCACCTTATCCACTATGAGAAGAACACTGTGACCACGCCTTATATGGTAATACTAGAACAATTTTCAAAACTAAAAATTCTATAATGGAACTAAATTTCAAGATAGCGTCAATAAGATTGTATATTGTTACTGTTGATGGAAATGTGTCCCTTATGGGAAATCTTTTGAAGTAATGTAAATAAAGATTTGTGTGAGGGTGTTACCTGCGTGAAGAAGGCGAGGGGAAACGCTATAAAAGAAGGGGAAGTGGTAAGGCACAGTTAGTCAGTTCATTGAGACAGGACGAGGTAAGTACAGGCAGCTGCGCCTCTACTAGTGAACAGGTGTTACCGAATTTTTACTGAAGATGATTTCTTTTCCGGGAATTCAGTGTTTTAGTGAATTAGTGATAGAAAAGTGACTATAATACGAATATCCATATTAGGATATCATGGCTGATAATGACAGAAAGTAGAGTAATTGTGTTAAACTTTAACCACAATTTTCAATTGAAAAATCTGAATAATGTAAGCTAATATAGCAGTTTTCCTTTAACAGCCGTTTCGTGGAGCAAATATTGTATTATCAATTGAATCAATTGCCAAGAATTGAGAATACTATTATTTAATCTTTAACCTTTTTGTTTTCAGATCTCAGGATTATTTATAAACTAACATAATGTGTGACGAAGAAGAGTGTGCGCTTGTGTGCGACAATGGCTCCGGCATGGTCAAGGCTGGCTTCGCCGGAGACGACGCTCCTCGTGCCGTGTTCCCCTCCATCGTCGGCCGTGCCCGTCACCAGGGTGTGATGGTCGGTATGGGTCAGAAGGACGCTTACGTCGGTGATGAAGCCCAGAGCAAGAGAGGTATCCTCACTCTCAAGTACCCCATCGAGCACGGTATCATCACTAACTGGGACGACATGGAGAAGATCTGGCATCACACTTTCTACAACGAACTCCGTGTTGCTCCTGAGGAGTCCCCCACACTTCTCACTGAGGCTCCCCTCAACCCCAAGGCCAACCGTGAGAAGATGACTCAGATCATGTTCGAGACCTTCTCTATGCCCGCCATGTACGTGGCCATCCAGGCCGTGCTTTCCCTGTACGCCTCTGGTCGTACCACTGGTCTCGTCTGTGATTCCGGTGATGGCGTTTCCCACATGGTCCCCGTCTACGAAGGATTCGCTCTTCCTCATGCTATCCTTCGTCTGGATCTTGCTGGTCGTGACCTTACCAACTACCTGATGAAGATCATGACTGAACGTGGCTACTCCTTCACCACCACCGCTGAACGTGAAATCGTTCGTGATATCAAGGAGAAGCTTTGCTACATTGCTCTTGATTTCGAAGGCGAAATGAACGTCGCTGCTGCTTCCTCCTCTTTGGACAAGTCCTACGAGCTTCCTGACGGTCAGGTCATCACCATCGGTAACGAACGTTTCCGTGCCCCTGAAGCTCTGTTCCAGCCTTCCTTCCTTGGTATGGAATCTGCTGGTGTTCATGAAACAGTATACAGCTCTATCATGAGGTGCGATATTGACATCAGGAAGGACCTGTTCGCCAACACTGTCATGTCTGGAGGTACCACTATGTACCCTGGTATTGCTGACCGCATGCAGAAGGAAATCACCTCTCTTGCTCCTTCCACCATCAAGATCAAGATCATTGCTCCTCCTGAGCGTAAATACTCCGTGTGGATCGGCGGTTCCATCCTGGCTTCTCTGTCCACCTTCCAGTCCATGTGGGTCACCAAGGACGAATACGACGAATCTGGCCCTGGCATCGTTCACCGCAAATGCTTCTAATCACGATTATACCAACACTGCATCGAATTTCATTTATTTTTTGAAAATGATGATTCAATAAATGTTTATGTTACAAATGTTTCTTCATCCACTGAAGGGTACATATAGTACCTAACCTTAACTGTACAAGGAAATGTTAGTGGTATGGAATACTAGTTATTTTAAGAAAAATGCTATAGGTCATGTTTTCATTACTATTATCATCGTTATCATTATTGATATCATTATAATTGACATGGCCATTATCATTATTATTACTTTTGCTATCATCATTATTTTAAATCTTTTAGATCTTAAGCTGCATACGTAACTTGAGTTGAAAAAATATAAACAATAGAAAATCACAAGGTCAAAAAATAATTATTAGTACATTCTACAAAGAAATAGATTTCGAGCAAATCTTGCATTCGTTTATACTATAACCAACTAATAAAGCAAATACACAAGGTCGCACACACATTTACTATATGTGTATGAACACAGATAAAACATGATAAACATGTCCAAAGACACAGACACATGTATACATATGTGTGTGTGCATAAACAAATATATGTATATATATGTATGTTTATATATGTACACACACACACACACAACACACTGTAAATGTATATGTATATGTATATTTACATATAAATAAATATATATATATATTATATATATTATAAGTATCTATATATATTATATATATTATAAATATCTATAAATATCTATATATGTAAGTGTGTATGTTTATATATATGCATATGTATACAGTATATTGTATATACACAGTGTATTCATATGTACATATATGTTATTACACACATACACATATGTGTGTGTGTTGTGTTTATATATATATTTATACATGTACATACACACACACACACACACACACACATATATATATGTATCTGTGTGTGTGAAGGAAATCAATAGACAGATAAATAAAGAAAACATAGAAGGGAGACAGAAAGACAGAAAAGTATATGTATATATATATTAGTATGTATGCCTGTATACACGCACTTATACATACATGCACACATACACACATATATATATACATATATATATCATATACACATTCGTATATGTATAGATTTACTATATACACAAGCACATATATGTATGTACATACATATATATACTCACACTCGTATGTGTATATATTATGATATATGTATATATATATACATACATACAAACACACACACATATGTTTTGCAGTATATATATACATACATATATATGTATATATACATACATATTTATGTATATATATATATATTATATATATATACACACACATATAGATATGCATTTATATGTATATATATATATATATATATATGTGTGTATATGTATACACACACATGTATGTATATTTTTTACAGTATATGTATATATATATACATATATATATGCACGTATATATATACATATATATGCATATATATATATATATATATATATATATATATATATATATATATATATATATGATGAATAATTGATCCTGGAAATCAAATTTAAATTTGCTCACTGTAATTATTTCATAAGCATCACTAAAAAGAAAATACGGGTAACAAAAAATTTAAAGGTTTATCAAGAATCAAAACCGTATCATCAAAACATTATGAGCAGTTTTACTCACAAGAGGCCGTGATTGAATTACTAATGAACGTAATTTTATATATGTATATATACAAAGGGACACACACTGTTAATGTATACAATATATTTATATGTATATATATAAATATATACATAAAAATGCATATATATATGTGAGTCTTTATGTGTTTATATATATATATATGTATATGTATACAGTATATCATATATACACAGTATATTTATATGTATACACACACACACACACACACACACACACACACACACATATATGTATGTATATATGTGTGTGTGTAAAGAGGAAATCAATAGATAGATAAATAGAGAGAACTTAGAGGGGAGACAGAATGTCAGAAAAAGAGAGGGAGAGCTGAGGATCAGGCGGCGGAAGACAGCAAATGAGAAAGAAAGAAAGAAAAGTACATGTACAAGTAAGTATTCATGCATACACGCACGTATACATGCATGCACGCACACACACACATATATACGTACATACATACATATACACATTTGTTTATATATAGATTTACTACACACACACACACACACACGAGCGCGCGCACACACACACACACACACACACACACATACAGCATATATATATATATATATATATATATATATATATATATATATATGTTTGCAGTATATATAGGTACATATATGACGAATGATTGATCTTGGAAATTGATTTTATATTTGCTTACTGTAATTATTTCATAAGCACTACTGAGATAGTAAATAGAGGAACAGAAATAATGTTATAATGTTTATTAACAATCAATTCTTTATCATGAAAACATTATGCACGGCGATACTCACAAGAGACTGTGATTAAATCATTAATGAACGTGATTTTAGGTTCATTATCATGAAGGAAAACTACACACAAGCTAAAACGAGATAGCAAATTCAAATGAGAAAATCTCTGTAACAATACACTAACATATTGATACATATATATTATAAATCTCCCTCCACATTTTGGGAAGTATCTCAGAATACGTATCGTCATGAGTTTGGTACTTTGTATGAAGTTTAATGTTTTATTAATATTTTGGCACTAATTTACACAGCAAATTTACGTATACTGAATAACACCTTTAATTTTGAAATCTATTTTCATCGTGTTACACAATGTAATATGTACATTTTCAGCAGTACGTAGAATTTGTTTTTCTCTCTGTCTCTCCACATACATACATATACTCATATATACATGAATGCACACACACATACATGCACATATACATACACACACATATACAAGTATATATATATATATGCAATTGTTTCTTTTTTGTATCGCTGTCACTGCCAAGTGTTCTCAGACAAATTAAAAATTACGATAGCTATTATATTTCTGTTACGGCTGAGAGCTTTATCTTTAACACCTGCTTAAAGTTCAAAGCCAGGTATGTCCAAGCGGCCGTATGCTGCGTTCCCCTTTGGAAGCATATTTTGGGCCACCGTCGCATTCCACAGTGTAGGGTCTCGCTTTTGTATATAAGAACAAGGTATACCCTTGCATCGGCAGTCAGCTTGGAGTAGAGAGCGGGTAAGGGTGGCTTCTATTGCTTTCGTGACAGTTATTCTGTGTTATTTTGGATCACTGGTCTTCAGGGAAAGTAGGCCGCAGGCATACTGGTCTAACTCCTGTTATTGGTCTTGCGATCTGCTTTTGTATTGTCTACAGGGGTTATGTAAATTACTTAATGGGTAAGGTGTGAAGTAAGTCATCCGCGAGCTGTCATCTGTCACCTGTCATCGGATATGACTGATTGTATTCGAGAATCTGCATTTTCATTTCATATTACGGCTTACAAGCAGATATTGAACACTGAAGGGGTTCAATACCAGTGGCAATTAGAACAAAGTACAGTCATTTGTTATTGTAGTCTCTCTAATTGTTTGTCATTCTTCTTTGCAGACTCCGGCCTTCTGTCAAATATCCAACATGTGTGACGAGGAAGAGTGTGCGCTTGTGTGCGACAATGGCTCCGGCATGGTCAAGGCTGGCTTCGCCGGAGACGACGCTCCTCGTGCCGTCTTCCCTTCCATCGTTGGTCGTGCCCGTCACCAGGGTGTGATGGTCGGTATGGGTCAGAAGGACGCCTACGTCGGTGATGAAGCCCAGAGCAAGCGTGGTATCCTCACCCTCAAGTACCCCATTGAGCACGGTATCATCACCAACTGGGATGACATGGAGAAGATCTGGCATCACACTTTCTACAACGAACTCCGTGTTGCTCCTGAGGAGTCCCCCACACTTCTCACTGAGGCTCCCCTCAACCCCAAGGCCAATCGTGAGAAGATGACTCAGATCATGTTCGAAACCTTCTCTATGCCCGCCATGTACGTGGCCATCCAGGCCGTGCTTTCCCTATATGCTTCTGGTCGTACCACTGGTCTCGTCTGTGATTCCGGTGATGGCGTTTCCCACATGGTCCCCGTCTACGAAGGATTCGCTCTTCCTCATGCTATCCTCCGTCTCGATCTTGCTGGCCGTGACCTTACCAACTACCTGATGAAGATCATGACTGAACGTGGCTACTCCTTCACCACCACCGCTGAACGTGAAATCGTTCGTGATATCAAGGAGAAGCTTTGCTACATTGCTCTTGATTTCGAAGGCGAAATGAACGTCGCTGCTGCTTCCTCCTCTTTGGACAAGTCCTACGAGCTTCCTGACGGTCAGGTCATCACCATCGGTAACGAGCGTTTCCGTGCCCCCGAAGCTCTGTTCCAACCTTCCTTCCTTGGTATGGAATCTGTTGGTGTTCACGAATCTGTCTACAACTCCATCATGAGGTGCGACATTGATATCAGGAAAGATCTGTTCGCCAACACTGTCATGTCTGGAGGTACCACCATGTACCCTGGTATTGCTGACCGCATGCAAAAGGAAATCACTGCCCTTGCTCCTTCCACCATCAAGATCAAGATCATTGCTCCTCCTGAGCGTAAATACTCCGTGTGGATCGGCGGTTCCATCCTGGCTTCTCTGTCCACCTTCCAGTCCATGTGGGTCACCAAGGACGAATACGACGAATCTGGCCCTGGCATCGTCCACCGCAAGTGCTTCTAAGCACTCTTGTCTGTATTCTATATACATATCTTGTATATTCAGCCTCAGTGTTCAGCCTCAATGCATTTCAGTCATCTTCCGTTGTCATAAACATGTTTAGACTAAATAACATTGTTTTTGATACGATCTCATTATCCATCAAATAAAATAGAAATTTACTAAATAATTTGTTTTTATTCTGCCTGCTGCTGAATAGTTTAATTTCGAACGTTAAATATGTGCCTTTGATATGTGATATACATTTCTATAATATGCATTATCATATCATATGTTGTAAATATATATCCTTGATGAAATGAGGAATTTAGAAAACAGATAATCGTCAGAACTCATGTGTTAAGGAAAATGACATGGTAAGTTTTAGAATATACTTTGTATACCTCTTACAAATAAACACACGTCTGTTCAAACACAGATGCGTAAGAGTAGCCACTATACATACACACAGCCACTTCCATATATATATACACACATACACACACACGCTCTGATATGTATGTGTGTGCATATACACACATGTCCGTGAAAGGATAGATAAACAGAAGAATATGTGTGTTTTGTGTGTGCACACATATATGTACAGGTATATATATGTGTATGTATGTATATACACACATGCATATACATGCACAATGATACACAAGTAAGTGTACATATGGCTACACAAGTCTATATTTGTAAAAGCATATCTACGTAGTTTTGCTTCAATTGTAATAAGTATTTTCCCATAATCAAGGATAACCACATCATCAAAGCCAAAGTAGCTTGCAATCACTACCCGTTACCCAATTTATTTTATCGATGCACTTCTACGAATGCATGTGAGTGCGTGTGTATGTACATATATGTGTATATGGGCATATGTATATGGGGTTCTGGACACGATCATCGATCATTTACTCTGATGATTTCAGTAATTGATATTACTACAATTCCATAAATAGAAGTGATACTATTAGTACCTGTGTTCTTGTTAATAAGAAGTTTATGTAAGTAATAGTAGCAGTAGGCTTTAGTGAAATAAAGAACCATTAGTATTCGTAATCTCAACTATTAGTGAAATATGAATACTATTAAAATTACAAAAGTAATCATTATCTTTATCAAGATCATGCATACAAGGATATATATATATATACACATATGCACACACACACGCACGCACAGACACACATATATATATATTATGTATGCGCGCGTTTGTGAGTGTGTGCATGTATTTTTGGTATATATATATACATATACATATACATATACTTACACACATATATTCATAGATATATATGAATGTATATGAATATATATATATATATATATATATATATATATATATATATATATATACATATACATATATATACATACATATATATACATATATATATACACACATATATATATGTATATATATATATATATATATATATATATATATATATATATATGTGTGTGTGTGTGTGTGTATGTATATATATACCCTTTTTTCCGATTGTAAGTATTTATATATTACTCGTCTTCGCCTTTGAACGAACAGAAGGCTGTCGGCAAATCCACAGGACCTTATGAGGCAAAGGCGTCCTTGATCACACAGACAGAAATAGCTGAAGTGGAGGCCTATCCACAGGCATGAAGGCCCAAAGGTAACGTAACAATAGCTTATAGGCCTTCCTTGCACTATGGGGCCCCACCCTCAGCCTATTTGGGGAAAGAGGGGAGGAGAGAGGGACAGCGAGGGCGGGCGGAGAGGGGAAAGCAGGGCGGGGATGCCTTGCTGTCGCTCTTTGTCTCCCCATTTAGATACACAATGAGGCGTTTGTGCTCGCTTCCGGCTGTTTCTGCTCTCTTGTCGAGGATGAATATCTGGGCAAATCTTCACGTCGCCTTTTAGATAACCTGATCTCATGCTTTTCCCATTCTTTCAATTCCTAAGCATAATGACATATGTAAGAGGTTATTTGTGTGTGTGTGTGTATATATATATATAGAGAGAGAGTGAATGTATACATATATATTTATTTACACACACACACACATATATACACATGTACATATATATGTATGTATGCATGTATATAATATGTAGATGCGTATCTAAACATATATTTATATCACACACACACACTCACAAACAAACTCACACACACATAAATATGTATGTATATGTATATATATATATGTACATATGCGTGTATATAAGTATGTATGTATTGATATATAGATATGCAGATGTGTAGCTAAATATACAAAAACAAACACAAACATTGATATATATTGTAAATATATCAGGTATGTCAAATGAGGGAAGGATGTTATGACGGATGAGCTCGGAGGCGGCACGTGGCTGTGACAGTTCACAAGTTAGCGCCCATTTAATATCTCTTTAGTGTCACACCATGTTCACCTGTTCCTTCTGACAAATGTTTGACGTGTCTGACAGCTTCTGGCAGGGAGAATTTGCTTTGAAAGTGGTAATGGGGCGGGAAACAATGGCCGGAGGATTCAAGGAGGATTCTTTGTTAGCATTTGCATACTCACACACACATACACACACACACACACATATATATAAATGCTTGGAAAAAACAACAACATATATATGCATGTATGTATTTATTGTCCTAGGCACATAAGCTGTTTCCGGTGTTAGGGGATCAGGAGGGGTTATGGGACTATGGAGCTACCCCTTTATCATCAAATCGATACATGATGAATATATATATATATATATATATATATATATATATATATATGTACATATATATATATATATATATATATATATGTATATATGTATATATATTTATGTGTATGTATGTATGTATGTATGTATATATATGTTTATATTTATATATGTATATATATACTATATATATACATGTATGCATATGAATTATGTATATGTATATACATACACATGATATATATATGTATATATATATATATATATATATATATATATATATATATATATATATATATATAATATTTACACACGCCCTTGGACAAAGTTGTAGTGGGTTTCTTTTAAAGCTGTGGTTCTCCAACTAGAGGTAATTACTATCGTGGTGTGTAAGGTAGTGGTTCTGTGGGGATAAATAGACACTTTTTGAAAGTAATATTTCTTTGGAGTAAATTGATAAGTAATAGTGAATAAATTAATAAGTATTTATTGTCAATGAACAGGTGATCGACGACACCGACACCGCAACAAAGCTCGAATTTCTTGCAGTAAGAAAGATAAAAACCGGAGGGAGAACAAGATGAAGAGTTGACTACCTTCTGGGCTAGAGAGGCGAAGGAATATCTCATTCTCTGGCAGAGAGATCTTAAAGTGCTTATCCTTTTTGCCACACTTTACCATTGCGAGGCTGGTTTCTTGGCCTTTGTTATTAGTAACAGTACCAAATCTGAAAGACGGAAATGCTGATATGCAATGTACAGTGTCCTCTTCAGATCCTTGCACTGATATTCTATTAAAGGATAGACAATACTTTATTTCCCATTACTGGTAAGGAGCATTGTTTTGATTTTATTTTTTGCCAAATGTTTTGAATTTATAAATGTACATATAAAACAAACAGAAAATTAGCATTACACCATTCTTTCTTTTAAATATACATAATTATGATGAGGTAGGGGTAATGGTGGACCGTCCCAACATTATCAAGTTTTATATAAATACATGTATATATGGATTTATATTATCATGTGTGTATATACACATGCATGTTTATTTATTTGCTTTTTATTATTCTTTTTTACACAACCATATAACACAATTGGAGTCTATTATTGGCAATGGTTCTTCTTTTAGTTCTAGGAGTAGGCGGTGGCTGAAATACTTTGTCCTGAAGGCATCAGTTACACTGGCCCGCATTCCTAAATGACAGAACAGACTAACTTGGGTATATAAAGGAGGCGGCTTTCCCTTATCCTCAGTCAAGGTTGTATCGACAGCAGGTAAACACATCTGTGTAGAGCCCATAAGAACTAAACATAAACAGTGTATTTTGTGTTATTTAGAGTGAAAAGAAATAATTTTCTTCGGTGTGAGCAAGGGTACTGTGTATATCTAGAACAAATTGCCATATAGTTCAAAAGGACGAACAGCGAAAAAGCATAATTTGATATACGCATATATATGTATATATATATATATATATGCATGCATACACATATGTATCTATATACAAATAAACATAACGGAACACATACATATGCAGACACATACACACAGAAATATATATATTCATACATACCTGTTCACACATACTCTTACATATATACAATCTATATGAATGTGTGTATGTAAATATATATATCCCCACAACCATAAAGACATGCACATACATGCGCGATTACACACACATGCTTGCGTACATAAACATATATGTAAATATATGTATGCAATATCAACGTTTCTCCATACACATATTTGAACTAATATTAATGTAGATTAGTTAATGGGCACGAGGATTATCCTCAATCGTTGATATTTTTTATTCTTCTTTGCAGACTCCGACCTTCTATTAGATATCCAACATGTGTGACGAGGAAGAGTGTGCGCTTGTGTGCGACAATGGCTCCGGCATGGTCAAGGCCGGCTTCGCCGGAGACGACGCCCCTCGTGCCGTGTTCCCCTCCATCGTCGGCCGTGCCCGTCATCAGGGTGTGATGGTCGGTATGGGCCAGAAGGACGCCTACGTCGGTGATGAGGCCCAGAGCAAGCGTGGTATCCTCACCCTCAAATATCCCATCGAGCACGGTATCATCACCAACTGGGACGATATGGAAAAGATCTGGCATCACACTTTCTACAATGAACTCCGTGTTGCCCCTGAGGAGTCCCCCACACTTCTCACTGAGGCTCCCCTCAACCCTAAGGCTAACCGTGAGAAGATGACTCAGATCATGTTTGAGACCTTCTCTATGCCTGCCATGTATGTATGCATCCAGGCCGTGCTTTCCCTGTACGCTTCTGGTCGTACCACTGGTCTCGTCTGTGATTCCGGTGATGGTGTGACCCACATGGTCCCCGTGTATGAAGGCTTCGCTCTTCCTCATGCTATCCTTCGTCTGGATCTTGCTGGTCGTGATCTTACCAACTACCTGATGAAGATCATGACTGAACGTGGCTACTCCTTCA